GTGTCTGGGGCGGGGTAAGACGCAGGGGACTCGGAAGGCGCGGCTGGGGCAGGGCGAGGACTGAGGGTTGGGGCTGGAGACGAGGACCAAGCCCCAAAGGCGTGAGGGGAACGGGACCAGGCGCCAAGGGCGAGGACAAGGACGAAGACCAAGCCGGGAAGGCGCGGCCTGAGCGGCCAGGTGAGGGTCGGGAGCGTGGCCAAGAGCGGAGGACCTGGTCGAGAGCGAGAGAGCTCTACTTTCTTGCCTAATACTGCTTTTTGATGTCTGTGCACGAGGATGGACGTGTGTAAGTGAAATCGCTTGTCCAAAGGGCCTGTTGAGTTTTTCGTTTTGACTGACACTACGGAGATTATCCGGAATAAGATCCCCGCCCAATATATATATATATCACTCATTTTATGTCTTTTTTTTTTTTTTTGAGTAGGGGTCTCACTCTGTGGCCCAGGCTGGAGTGCAGTGGCACACTCACAGCCACCGCAGCCTCAGCCTGCTGGGTTCAGGTCATCCTTCCGCCTCATTTTTTAAAATAGCGTAAGGGCAGTTAAAATTTATTCAAGCAGTCCTGTATTGACGAGCTCACAGGCTGCTTCCAGATTTGTTTTACCAGATTTTACCACAAACAATATTGCAGCTAAGTATTCTTTTATATATGTGTGTACATACATATGTATATGTTTATATGTTACATACAAATGTGTGTGCATATATCCTATTTTTATTTCTGTAGGTTAAATAACTGGAAGTCGGTTTGATTGGCCAAAAGACATGAGAGGTTTAATTTTGAATCAGTTTTGCTAAACCATACCTCCAAGAACCTATAATGGCAATAAATATATTTGTTATACACACAGAAAAGCAGAAATTAGAGGCATTAAAATTGTTTGAAAAGAAAAATTGTGTATGCTCACACTTATTCATAAGCAAATAAAAAAGTAAAACATGGCAGTTTTTTCATCCATCAAACTACAAAAGATTAAGAAGTTTGAAAATACCACCTCTTATCAATAGGGTGCCTGAATGAAACGTAATTGTACACCTAACCCTTAACTGTACCCTACAAAACCATAATAAAAAATACTGATTAATGAAAAAAAAAAAAGAAAATACCAACTTAGTTTTGGTGTGAGGAAACAACCTCTCAGACACTGCAGGAGAGGTTCTTAGAGAAGAATTGATACAAACTCTTTGAAGACAATTTGTCAATATCAGAACATCCTTTCAGATCCAACAATCCCATTTCTAGGATTTCAGGATTTTAAAAAGAATAAGGTAGGTTTTTCTGTGCTGTTTGGGACAATCTCCAGGATATTGTTTCATTTTAAAACACAGAGAGAATAATGTGTATGGCTTGATCCCATATATAGGGGACTCAATAAAATGCAATTTATTGTGTTTTACTTTATACATAAAGGCCTGTATGAAAACCAAGTTGTTCATTTCTGACCTCTGACAGAACTTAAAATGCTATATGCTACTTGAAAATACAAAGTCCTTATCTCTGCTGAAATGTTTTCTTTTATCTGAAAGGTTTATCATTTTCTTATGAGGCTCCAGATCACATATTTGAGAATACAAACACTATCTCTAGAAAATGGAAATTGTCAACAGTAGTTGCCCCTGAGAAGGGCCTGGGGAACTGAAGGGTAACTTTTATACTGCTTGATTGTTTTTTGTTTTGGTTTTTTTTACTATGTGTTAAGTATTACCTTAAAAAAAAAAGAAAAATAGATAAGTTACAAATGTGTGTAATAAATCAAACTCCTTTTATAGTCTTCCTCAAACAAGAGTACAGACAAAATATTTCACGCTTCAGCAGTCACCCTGTGACCATGGAGGGGGCAATCAAAAGAATCGCACAAGACTAGCTCCTGAGCTGCTGGTCAGTGCTGCCTACTTCCAGAATTTTCTTAATGAGAAAAATAGCCACTTATTTAAGCAACTGTTTGCTTTCTGTTACTTGAAGCCAAGAGCATTCCTAACTGAACACAGTCTCTTCTTTCTTCCTAGTACATTCTGATCATCACTTTTCCTGGTTTGCTGACTGACAAAACGTCATAAAAATAGAAAGCAGCTGCTATTGTTAAACACTTACTCTGTTCCAGCACCATGCTAAGTGGTTTGTTTTTTGTTCTGTTGTTGTTGTTGCCAGTAATAACTCATTAAACCTCCACAACCCTAAGCTGAAGCTTGGAGGTCAAGTCACTTGCCAGGGCCACAAGCCCAGATCCTTCAGCTACCAGAGCCTCAGCTATTACTGGAGAGCTCTCCGGTCACAGTTCTCTCTGGAAGCCTGTGCTGGATCAGTGAATCCTCTAGGTGTGCCCTGTGCCCTTGCAGTGCTTGTCACTTTATTGCAAGGACCTCTTCACTTTCTTTACTTGCCACCTTCTAGCGGACTGAATTCTGAGTGGCAGGTGGGCCTTGTTCACTCTAAGGCCTGCTGAGATGCTCAGATGTTGTGGGGAGGAACCTCCTGTGTACCTCCCCCATCCCTAAGATTCTTTACCCTCTGGTGAACTCTGGGAGGGAGGATGCCTTGCCCCACCCCTCCACTCAGTTACAGGGGGTTCCTGCACCACCAGCATTCAGGGGTTGGGAGAAGGGAAGTAGTCAGGTGAGAGATACAGAGCTCCACGTATAGGCCCCTTCCTCTGGGTCAGGTACCCAGGAAACATAGGGGTAGAAGGGGCCTGCGCCACTTGCTCCTTGGGTTGTGACTGAGAACTCTACCTCCTGGGAGGTACCCACGACCACCCTTCCCCCGAAAATGTGGCTCTGAGAGCAGATTCTCTTGTCCTTCCAGACAGGGATAGGGCTGCCCTGGTTCCTCAAAAGCAGTCACTGGGTCCTTTCATGGGCAGCCTGGTATTACACTATCAGGGGCTGGGGAGGGGCCACAAAAGGCGCCATGTCCAGCCTCCTGAGGCCGCTCCCACCTGAGTCTAGGGAGGGAGTGGGTGCAGCAGTAGCCATCTAATTTGGGGACTTCCCATTGCCCCCTCCCCCCCAGGATGGCTCAGTCCAGCTGGGATGGCAGACCCCCCTACTCCCCAGGGAGCCCAAGTCATCCAAAGATCACCCCTGGGCTGCATTTCCCCCTACTCTCAGCAGCACCCCCTACCCCTTTCCAGTCTCATCCAGCTCACAGCTCAGCATCAGGAACCTGTACTTGGGCAATCTTTGACTCAAACACCAAGAAATTAGAGCTTAATTTTTAAAAATATTTTTAGAGAAAGGGTCTTGCTCTATGGCCCAGGCTGGAATGCATGATCATAGCTCACTACAGCTCCGAACACCTGGGCTCAAGCAATCCTCCTGCCTTAGCCTCCCAAGTAGCTGGGACAATGGGTGTGCACTGCCACACACAGCTAGCTTTTAATTCAATTCTTTTAATTCAATTCTTGCTGTCTTGCCCAGGCTGGTCTCAAACTTCTGGCCTCAAGCAATCCTCCCATATTGACCTCCCAAAATGCTGAGATTATAGGCATGTGCCACCGCATCTGGCCTCTTTTTTAAAAAACTAGCATTTACTTTTTCGCCGGGCGTGGTGGCTCACACCTATAATCCCAGCACTTTGGGAAGCCAAGGTGAAAGGATTGCCTGAGTTCATAGGTTCAAGACCAACCTGGGCAACTTGGCGAGACCTCATCTCTACAATAAATCAAAAAAATAGCTAGTGGTGCATGCCTGTAGTTCCAGCTTCTTGGAAGGCTGACGCAGAAGGATCACCCGAGCCCAGCTGTGGGCATGCCACTGCACTCCAGCCTGGGCAACAGAGTGAGACTCCAACTCCAAAACAAAACCAAAAAAACTAGCATTTACTTTTTCCCCTCTCTGATCACAAAAGGAACTTGTGTTCAATGTTGAATATCTGGAAAAACGCCAAAAGACTAAAGGGGAAAATGAGCCTCTCAGCAATCCCACCATCTAGCGGTAACCACAGTCAATGCCTGTGTAGCCCAGTGTTCGTGATTGCAAAGATGCACTACTTCCAAACTCCCTCAGGTACACCAAACCCCTCAGCTCACCCTTGACCTTCCACCCTGCTTTGTGGAGTCACCCCAAAAGCAACGGCAGAGGAGTTCTCACAAGGGAGTACCCCAAACCATCCCAAGATGGGGCCAGTTGGGATTCCAGAGAAAGAAGCACTCACAGCCAGGGAGATCAGTCTAAAGCACTTATTAGGGGAATGAACTTACAGAGTGCTGCAGCAATCCTCCCAGGTGGACTTCAAGAGGCAAGGGTCATCCACCTAGGTATGTCCCCAGGGAGGGGGTCAGGGTATAAAGTTTTTTGTTGCTGTTTTGGGTTTTGTTTGTTTATTTTTAGAAACAGGGTCTTGCTCTGTGGCCCAGGCTGGAGTGCAGTGGTACAATCATAGCTCACCACAGCCTCGTCCTCCTGGGCTCAAGTGATCTTCCTGCCTCAGCCTCCTGAATAGCTGAGATGTTTTATCTTACCTGGATAATTTTTTTTATGTTTTGTAGAGACGGGGTCTTGCTATGTTACCCAGGCTAGTCTCGAACTCCTGGGCTCAAGCAATCCTCTGGCCTCAGCCTCCCCAGTAGCTGGGACTACAGGCACACCACCACACTAGGCTTAGGGTATGGTGTTTATATGAAGGTTTAAAGAATTTGGCTCAGGGTGCAATCTCATTTTTTTCAGTGATTTGGACAACAACCTAAATATCAGTGCCTGAGAATATTCAAGGCCCTAGTTTGGGTTCAAGCCTTTTGGGAAAAACCTATAGCTGGCTGGGCCACAGAGTGGCCAAGGCACCCTGTGTTTTTCGGTCAGGACACAGAACAAAAAGGGGAGAAGGGAAGAGTAGAGGGGACTTGGGGAACCCTGTACAACCCCCCACCCCCATCTCTACAAACTCTTAGAGGACTGTGAGGCACTGGCCCAAGACCAATACTTACAACACTACTATGGTGGGAATTGCTACTCCCTTTCCTCATTAGAAGGAAAATAAGATTCAGAGAGGGGAAGTGTCTCATTTGAGACCATAGAACTTAATAGGAGAGCTTGGGATTTTGACCAGGTGTCCGGATCCAAAGTCTGTGTTTCCAATCTGAGTAAGTGGCCTATTCAGAGTCCCTGCCTTGGAAAGCCCACTCAAAGGGACTCTGTAGGGGCCAAAGTTCCAGGTGTGAAGGCCCCTGAGCCCAATACTTGGGGTGGGACCTCTTGAGCCAGTCCCTAAGGCAAGCAGCCCTGAAAAGGTTACAAAGAGTGCACCCTTTCCATATGATGGCCTTTGGTGGGTTCCCCCAATCTCACATCTGAGTTTGAGAAGGTGGATTGGGCACATAAACAGGGGTGGCCGCGTTTCTGAGTGAAGCAATCTAGGCTTACCAAACCGGGAGAATCCACTCTGCTGAAAAGGACGCTCAACTGTTCCACTGGCAGAAGCTGTCTGGTTGAACACAGGGAGCCGGGCCGTGTCCCACCAGCCTTCACGAATCTGGAGTCTGATACAAAGCGCTCCTTGAAGATACAGAAGCTGGAGATTTTGCAACCGTGCTGTTTCCAGCATGTCTGCTGGCTGTGGCATGTTGGCGACTGGTATTGGGTGCGCAGAGTGGGCTCATTCCAGGATCAGGCTTCGCTTATTGACCGGAGTCTGCATCCCAGGTTCCCCGGGAAGTAAATGAATGACCAGTGGGCAAGGGTGAGCAAAATGCTTACAAGGCCCAGGCTTAGGCTGAGGTGGGAGGACTGATTGAGCCCAGGAGTTCGAGACCAGCCTGGTCCACATAGCGAGACCCCGTCATTATAAAAAGAAAAAAAAAATTAGTCAGGGGCGGGGGCGCGCGCCTGTAGTCCCGGTTACTGGGGAGGCTGAGGCGGGAGGAACGCTTGAGCCCAGGAGTTCGAGGTTGCAGTGAGTCGTGATCGTGCCACTGCCCTCCAGCCTGTGCGACAGAGCGAGACCCAGTCAAAAAAAAAAAGGACCGGGCTTTTAAGGAGGAAGCCGGACGGGATGACTGCAGGACTCCCGCTCCCCGTAGCTGTGGCTAGAGGCTTCGTCGGGCTCCGGACAGGGAGGTCACTCGGCCCCTGGGACCCTCTGGCGTTCCCACCAAGCGACTCGGTCTCCCTACAGCGAAGGGGCCTAAAACCAAAAAGGGCTGTGCGCCGGCCCCTGACCACTGGCTCTCGCTCCACGCCCCTTCCCCGGCCCACACCCAGGGGGACCCCCACTCGGCTCCGCGCTTCTACCACAGGAGTCCCCGCCCAGCCTCGGAACACCAAAGCCTCGGAACTGTAAGCCCGCGCCGGCCGGGGACCACAAAGAAGCGGACCCACGGCTGACGGGCGGCCCTGGACGTGGGGGCGGGATTTCCAGCCCCGCACTTCCGCTTCGGTTCCCAGCGTCCTGTGCGGCTGGAGTTGGGCGCTTAGGCGAGTGGGCTGTGGCGTCGCTAGGTTCCAGGCGATTCTAGGTGAGGGAGTCCCCGGAGAGGCTCGGGACGCGGGAGGCTGTCGGGACCCGGCTGCCAAGGGTCCGGGGTCGGCGGGAGGTGAGGCCAGGGAGCTTTGGGGCCGGGCCTTCGGGTGACGAGACGGAGCGGAGGCGGGGCTGCCTGGGCCCCGTCGTCCAGGACGCGGGTCTTGGGGACCGGGAGGACTCGGGTCCAGGGTGTTGGGGGGCGAACGGAAGGCTCAGTGGCCGAGACTTAGGACCTGGGGCTGGGAGACTTGTAGGCGGGGGCATCTGGGCCTAGGAGACCCCGGAAGTCCTGACTCTGCTGCCCCCCTCCCCCGCCTTGTTAGCTCCAGCCAGGATGATCGAGGTTGTCTGCAACGACCGTCTGGGGAAAAAGGTTCGCGTTAAATGCAAGTATCCGCCGACCGCCGGCAGGCAGTGGTCGCTGGGGGTGCCTGGCGGGATGCAGGCGACTCGGTCTGGTTTTCCTTAAACCCGGGAGAGGGGCGGACGGGGTCCTGGCACATAGCATTTAAGCCCAGAAGGCCCTCTTCCTCTTCTGCCTCTTCCGCCTATTTGCCTTAACTCCCCTGCGCCCAGCACCGATGACACCATCGGGGACCTTAAGAAGCTGATCGCAGCCCAGACTGGCACTCGTTGGAACAAGATTGTCCTGAAGAAGTGGTGAGTGCAGTGGTAGATCTATAGGTGGACAGGGCTAGGCCAGAAGGTTTTGGTTGGGGAACACTGCGGGCAGCCCTGGGCTTAGGCTGGGCTGCCGTAGCCTGCCTTCAGGGTGAAGGGTCTCCCCAGGCTTTCCTCTGAAAGTTCTCTATCCCACAGGTACACGATTTTTAAGGACCACGTGTCTCTGGGGGACTGTATCCTTTGTGTGACTTCCTAAGGAAGAGACTACCTACCCAGCCTCAGTTCTCTTTGTTCAGTACTGAAGTCTAGATGAAGTTACACAAATAAGGTGTTCAGCTTAGTGTGTGGCACACGGTAAGCCCTTAGAAAATGGGAGCCAGGCTGGGCGCGGCGGCTCAAGCCTGTAATTCCAGCACTTTGGGAGGCTGAGGCGAGAGGATTGCCTGAGCCCGCGAGTAAGAGACCAGCCTGGACAACATGGCGAGATCTTGTCTCCACAATAAATAAAAAATAAGCCTGGTGTGGTAGCACGCACCTGTAGTTCCAGCTACTTGAAAGGCTGAAGCAGAAGGATCACCTAAGCCCAGCAGGCCAAGGTTGCGGTGTCCACAGTGAGCGTGCCACTGCACTCCAGCCTAGGCAACAGATTCTGACTCCAAAAAAAAGAAAAAATGAGAACCACATAGTTACTTTGTTGGGGAGGAGAGTGTTTGCCTGGTGAAATTGTTTGACTTAAAAGACTTTGACACTTCAAGTACCAAATATTTATTACTGAACTCCACTTGAGTGACATACAGGAGGTCAGGGTGGAGTGAGACATAGACCTGTCTGTTGTGTAGGAGCGTAAAATTTTTAACAGTTTGCATTATTTCCAAGTCAACATGACCCAGTCCAAAATGGCTTCCTAAGCTCTGGGCCAAGTCCTCAGGCCACCACCTTGACCCAGCTGCAATGGATGGAGGGTAGGGGTGGAGCCTACAGTGAGTACTCCTTAACACCTTTACGTCAGATGAAATCCACGATGGGATGAACCTGGAGCTTTATTATCAATAGATTCCTTTTCTTTGCCACCTTACCCCCCTACACTGGTATAGATGCTTGTTTTTAAAAACTCACATTAATAAAAACTTAAATGCTGCTTTGTCGTCATCCTCTTTGCATGGAAGCTATCTAATGATAGGAGGGTTAGTACTTGTCTGGCTGTCTTTGTACAATCAGTACATACCTGCTAAAATAAGAGCACAAGATCAACCGGATCCATGAAGGAGGAGTAGACCAGCAGGCTGGGACCCTGAGTGGGAGCTTAGAGCTCTGGGGTTTACTGTGGATCGCTGAAGGTAAAGAAACCTTGGCATATGATCGTGCTAATAGACCAAGAGCCTCTGGGTAGCAACAGTCGATGTAATAATTAGGAATGCAGGCTCTGGATTCAGACAGACCTTGGGTAAAATGTCATCTCGGCCACCAAACAGCTGAGTGACCCTGGGCAATATTCTTAATCTCCCTAAGCCTTCATTTCCTTATCCACACTGAAACCAGTTAATCTGTTTACTTCATGTCTACTTCATTGGCACGTTGTGAAGTGGAGAAAAAATAAAGTTTGTTTAGTATCCACAGTTTCTGGCATTTCTTATCAAGAGATCCTAGACAGAGGGAAGCAGCGTGGCACTATAAGTGAGGCTGTAAGAGCCCACCCTCAAGAATCAGATTGAGTTTGAATTTTGATTGATCCTTAGCAATGGGATTCAGGAAGTCAGCCTCTTGGATCCTTAGTTTCTTCCTACAAAGGGGCACCATGATGGCACCCACATCTCAGTGAGATGATGCAATGAAATCACAGGATGCCTGGCATATAGTGATATTAGCTGTCTTTGGTCTTCTACAGATGTGAGTACTCAGGAGACCAAGCACCCCGCCTCTGTTCCCCTGGGAGCAGATCCTGGTGTCAGCCTTGGCCCTCTCCTCTCACAGAGCAAGAGGGACTTGAGGCTGGCTCATTCTGGAGCCCTTCTCAGGAGCCTCACACAGCCCTACTCCATCCATTCTATCCTCTCCTGTGTTAATCCCACTTGGCTCAATAAAGTTGGAGTCTAGGCCACTGTGCCTCCCCACTTTTGCAAGTTCCATCCAGCCTTCTGCCTGCCTTTTACCACCAACCTTTGTGGGAGGTGGCCCTGTCTGCTGTCCAGGATGCTGCTGGCCTGTAGCTCATTAGGGATGATCTCTCCTTGGTCACCATCAGTTACCTCCCTACCCATCCCCATGGCTTCCCTCTTGTCTCTAGGACTCTGCTTCCTCCTGACATGTCAGAAATGTCTCTCCTGGTACCCTTGTCCTTACTCTTACAGCTGTCGCACCCCTACCTGTCTATTTAGAAACAAATTTTAAATTATCTGCCAGGCACATGGCTCAAGCCTGTAATCCCAGCACTTTGGGAGGCTGAGGCAAGAAGCTTGCCTGAACCCAGGAGTCGAGGCCAGCCTGAGCAACTTGGCGAGACCTTGTCTCTACAAAAAATAAAAAAAAAAAAAAACCGAGCATGGTAGCACACACCTGTAGTTCCACCTACTTGGGAGGCTGAGGCGTAAGGATTGCCCGAGTCCAGCAGGTCGAGGCTGCAGTGGCTGTGAGTGTGCCACTGCACTCCAGCCTGGGCAACAGGGTGAGACTCCAAATGAATGAATGAATGAATAACAGACATAACAGTGATTCCTAAATTTCAAGTCAGCCTGGAAGTGTCCAGACTAAAGGTAAAACCCTTCTCCTTACCCCATTCTTTTTCCTGAGGTCAGGCCTTCTTCAGTATGTCTATATAAACTTCAGTTTTAATTTTCTTTTTTTTTTTTTTGAGTTGGAGTCTCACTCTTCACCCAGACTGGAGTGCAGTGGCTGCTCCCAGCCACCGCAGCCTCGACCTGCTGGGCTCTGGCGATCCTTCTGCCTCAGCCTTTCAAGTAGCTGGAACTACAGGCGCGTGCTACCATGCCTGGCTAATTTTTGATTTATTGTAGAGATGAGGTCTCGCCAAGTTGCCCAGGCGGGTCTCGAACCTGCGGGCTCAAGCGATTCACTCACCTCAGCCTCCCAAAGCACGGGATTACAGGTTGAGCCACCCAGACCGGCTTAATTTTAATTTTCAAAGATGACTATGTTAATCTATGCTTGATAAAACTCAATGTTTAGTAAAAAACTTAGTTTATTTCTTAACACCATCCCTCCCTCCCACCAGTGGTGATCACTAACATATTTGAGTGAATCTAGAAATCTTCTGAAATAACTTAGAAGTTTTTATCAAAAGAGGGTACAGGAAGAAAGGCGGAATGCAGGCTGTCAATGAATCTGCCTGTATTGCAAGTGAGCCACATGACCACACTGAAGATGGTAGGGAAGAAAGGGGCTGACCTGAGTGATTTGGAAAACATTTTTATTTTTTTATTTTTTATTTTTTAGTCAGAGTCTCACACTGTCACCCAGGCTGGAGTGCAGTGGCATGCTCATGGCCACCGCAGCCTGGACCTGCTGGTCTCACGTGAACCTTCCACCTCAGCCTTCCAAGTAGCTGGAACCACAAGCATGTGCTACCACACCCGGCTGGGGTTTTTTTAATTATTGTAGGGATAGGTCTCGCCATGTTGCTCAGGCTGGTCTCGAACCCCTGAGTCTAGGTAATTCTCTCATCTTCACCTCCCAAAGTGCTAGGATTACAGGCGTGAGCCACCGTGCCTGGCTGGAAAAAATATTTCAACTGGATACTGTAAGACTAAAGACGAATAATTGTACGCAAACACTGTATTCCAGCTGGTAAACATGTTCCTTACAGATAGCAATTCTGAACCGTGTGTGTGTGTACATGTAACACACACAAACAGGTTGAACAAATAAGTAAATATTAAGTAGATAGTGTGAGCCAGGTTTCTTACTACAGGGGAGAAAAGTTATAAGTAAAACAGGAGACACAGGAGAGATTAGAATAAGCCCTTTGGGACTAGGATTAGAGTTGGAGGCGTCAGTCTGAATTTATGGTCTTTAATATGTATACAGACACAGAAATAGAGGTAATCGTGCATATGTATAGATATACATCTTTATCCACTCAGAGGGACTAAAAACAGTGGCACTCTAGTAGCAACAAGCACACCTAATTATTCTAAATCTCTAATGAAAAGAACCAGGGCTTCTTAGAGAAGGGATTGGTTTCAAGGCTGGGGCAGGGAAGATAAAGATGAGCCTGGAGCATCCTGTGGTACCAGAAAGTAAGAAATGCTCAGATGAAAAGGACAGGAGCCTGAGCCCATGGGTTAGAGACCAGCCTGGGCAACTTGGCGAGACCTCATCCCTACAATAAATCAAAAAAATTAGCCAGGTGTGGTGGTGCATACCTGTAGTTCCAGCTACTCGGAAGGCTGAGGTGGAAGGATCACCTGAGCCCAGCAGGTCCAGGCTGCCGTGGCTGTGAGCATGCCACTGCACTCCAGCCTGGGGACAGAGTGAGACTCTTAACTCAAAAAAAAAAAAAAAAAAAAAAAGGACAGGAGTATACAGAAAAGGCTTAAGAGCCAATCTGGACTCCATGGCCAAATTTGGGACAAATTGAGCAACAAAATGATAATACTGATTTATAACCCAAAGAATAAAATACATATCCTGGAGCCCATGCTAATGTAAATAAGTAACAGAATATGTAAATAAACAGGATAAAAGGAGCAAACTTTTCCTTACAGAAGGATTCCAATTCATGAATGTAAAAGGAAAGAGAAATAGTGGTCACCATTGACTGGATGATCATAGTCATGACTGCTGTAGGCAATATGTACTGATAGACGCTAAAGTTGGTGAAAATTTAAGCAGAAGTAGGATATTTGCATAGTCTCTTAAGTATTGGTTCATAACAAAGGGGAAAATAGTTTAGATACTGCCTTAGTCAAATGTTCAAAGTTACTATCACAAGTGTGCTAGGTAGCCTGTAAGGTGGTCCCCAGTGATCCCTGAGTCCTATATTCGCACCCTTGTGTAGTATCCTCCTCTTGGGCATAGGCTGGACCTAGCTTCTAAGTGGAATATGGCAAAAGCGATGGGATATCGCCTCCAAGATGAGGTTGCAAAGCATCTGGCTTCTGTCTTGTTTGCATTCTTTCATTTTCACTTGCTTGTGGTGAAAGGCCATATGAGCTGTCAAATGGGAGTTCCCCAACCAATAGCCAGCAAGGAACTGTTGGTCATTAGTCCAATATCCCAATAGTACCTGAATCCTGCCAGTAACCATATGAGCTGGCTTGGAAGCAGATCCTACCCCACTCAAGCCTTCAGATGAGCTCACAGCCACCCCTGCTGACACCAGTTAAACCGCCTGCATTCTTGACCCATAGAAACTATGTAATAAATGTTAATCCACTAAATTGTGGAGTAATTTGCTATGCAGTGGTAGATACCTTAATACAACCAGTAATGTATTTCAACATCATCGACCACCTGGTATGTCGCACCAGCAAGGTAGGGCACATGGTCTCTGTCTCTTCCCAATAATGCATAACCTCAGTCTAATCATGAAAAAAAAAAAAGAAACCCATGTGGAACATAAAAAGAATATTAGTGGGAAAACTGGGGGGAGGGGGAGTCTGTAATTTATATACTAGTATTATACCAATGTTGATGTATTATTTTTGAGAATTATTTATAGCAGCTTCTGAGCTTTGGCATTGTTGACACTTTGGGTTGTACAATTCTTTTTGTGGGGGCTGTACATTGCAGGATGTTTAGCAGTATCCTTGACTTCTAATACTAAATGCCAGTATCCAAATAGCCAGTAGCCTCTCCTGTCCTCAATTTTAATAACCAAAAGTGTCTCAAGACATTGCCAAAATTGCTCCTAGTTGAGAACCCCTGTTCTCTTATGATGTAAGATGCTAATATAAGGGAAGGCTGGGCCAAGGGAACATGAAAACTACTACTTTTGCAACTCTGTCCTAAGTCTAAAATTACCTTTTGAAAAAGGAAATATGTGCTTGTAAAAGTCAAAATGTTATATTAAAACTCAAGTGCCTCTGACATTTTGAGCTGGGTGATGAAATTATTTTTAAAAACAAAACCCAAAAAAGCTTAAGTTCCTCATTGCTTCCTTCACCTGTATCACCATCGCCAGTGGTAGTCATTAACATATAGAAGGAATCTAGAAATTTTCTGTGATATAAACACATGGTTTTTACACAATTGAGATAATTGTGCTTTTATACCCATACTGTTCATCAGTTTGCTTTTTTATGCTTTATATCTTGAATATCTTTACATAAGTGATCCATTCATTTTTTTCTTTTGAGCTGGGGTCTCTGTCACCCAGGCTGGAGTGCAGTGGCGCCATCACAGCTCACCATAGCATTGACTTCTTGGGCTCACAATCCTTGTGCCTCTGTCTCCCGAGTAACTGGGACTACAGGCATGTGCTACCACGCCCAGCTAATGTTTTTTTCTTTTCTTTTTTTTTTTTTTTGTTGTTGTAGAGACGATCTTGTTCTGTTGCCTAGGCTGGTCTCGAACTCCTGGCCTCAAGCAATCCTTCCATGTCGGCCTCCCTAAGTGCTCACAGGTGTGAGTCCCCATGCCCAGCCTATTGTTTTTCGTTTTCTTTGTTGGTTTTTTGTTTGTTTTGTTTTTAGTGGTAGTCTCAGTCATCCAGGCTGGAGTGCGGTGGCACGCTGCCCATGGCTACCGCATCCTTGACCTGTTGGTCTCAGGTGATCTTTCTACCTCGGTTTTCCAAGTAGCTGGAACTACAGGTGTGCGCCACTTCACCCAGCTAATTTTTTTATTTATTGCAGAGACGAGGTCTCGCCATATTGCCCAGACTGGTCTTGAACCCGCGGACTCAGGCAATAGGCAATCCTCTCGCCTTGGCTTCCCGAAGTGTTGGAATTACAGGCGTGAGCCACCGTGCCCAGCTTGTTTTGTTTTGTTAGGTTTTTGCACTTTTTATAATTGCTGTACTATGACTTGCTTTTCGCCCAGCAAACAATATCAGTTAACATTATATATCCTTGCTGTGGACCAGGTACTGTGTTCAGTGCTTTACGTGAATTAGCTGTTAGTCTTCACATCAAAAAGAAGAGGTATGTATTTTTGCTTATTCCCACTTTGCAGATGGAGAAGCTGAAATGCAGAGGTTAAGTGATTTGTTCAAGGTCATAGCATTTGAGCCCAAGCACGCTCTTAACCTGGCTCGTTCTGCCTCTGATTTGTTGTGGACATGCTTCCCTGTAAGTGCACGTCACTGAGCCTCCTGCTTTATAACGGTCGCATAGGGTCTATGCTATAAATAAACCGTAACTGAACTCTTCCCTGTCGGTGTCTTTGGCATATCTATCTCCAGCCCACATTTCCCCAGCCCTGGGTACCCAACTGCCCCCTCAGTGTCCCACCAGCTCTGCAGACTCTTTAAAATTGCTCAAACTGAGCTCATCCTCCTCCCACGTGCACCTCCTCCCGCGTTCTCATCAGAGTGTCAATTCCAGCAACCACCAGTCACCCAGGAAGGAGCAAGATTGAGCGGGAATAAAGGAAGAGGTAGGTTCCAAAAGGACGTGGAAGGCGTTTGGGTCAGTGGCGTAGGAGAAAGGTCAGCCTTGCAAAATATAAAAGAGGCTGGTTAGCTTTGGACATCTGGAGGAACAGGCGGGAAGAGAGGTGGAGGAGCCAGATTTAGGCTTCGGGCGCCTAGGTACTCGTCTCCAAGGCAACTGCGTTGCTATGGTAACAGCGAAGGCACGGCCACCTCTCCCAAGTACCTCGTCGGCCGCCGTTACCTCCACACTCGCCAGACGCTTCCGCGTGGGGGGACTGGGGACTTGCAGGCGTCCCGCAACGGCTCCGGAAAGCGGGAATTGCTGCTGCATTCGCCAATCAATAAGCTCTACCCTGCCTGGACCGGCTCTGCGGCGAAGGGCACCAAGTAGGGGTCGGGACTTTTTTGGCGCTCGGCAAAGGGAGCCAGAGGGCGGGTTCGGGTTCCTTCCCCACCACTTAGGAGGCGAGGAGAGGGCGGGGGCGGGGTCGGGGTGAGGCCGACTGGCGGCGGAACTCAGGTAAGACGTGGGAGGGCCCGCCCACCCTCGTTTCTGCCCAATCGGAGGCCAGGGAGCCCTTCCGGACGGTATGAGCGTCCAATAAGCCTCGCCGCCGGGCCCCGGTACGGGGAGCTTCGAACCAATAGGCGGCGGCGGCGGGCGGGCGCGGGCGCGGGCGGCGCGGCGGAGGCGGAGCGGGCGTTGCGGCAGGAGGGAAGATGGCGGACGAGGAGAAGCTGCCGCCCGGCTGGGAGAAGCGCATGAGCCGCAGCTCAGGTGCCGCGGGGGTCGGGCTGGGCGGGGCCGCGCGGGCCTGCGGAAGTGGGGCTGGAGCTCGGCCCTCGGTCGCGCTGTCGCCTCCCTCCCATGGGGTCCTGGTCCCTCTGTGTCGTCCCCGGCGTAACGGCCCCTGCCTGCCCTTAGGGGCTGCAAGCCTTGGGAGCCAGGAAGCCGGAGGAAACTGAGGCAGGGGCTTGGGCGGGTGAGGGCTGGGGGCCCGGGGCGATGGGCCCGGCCCTGCTGGCTCGGCTGACACTTACTTCTTCGCCTCATGCACCTGGCGCCCGGGGCAACCTCTGCATCCCGCTGGGCCTGCGGGGCGCCCCTGGGAGGGACACCCCGATACCTGCAGAGGGCGTGGCCCCGGGTGCTGCCCGGCCTCGGGCCTAAGACCCGCTCCCGCCGACACCCCTGCCACCCGCGCCCAGTGTTGAGTCTCGACGTCCGCCGGTGGTATTCTGCCGGAGAATAGCCCGTGGGTTCGGGCCTGATTTAGGGGTTAGCCACAACAATAATGCCCATAGTTTGGCACGCTTTTCTCTGTGCCGAGCGTCTTAGGTGTTTAATTTCTGTCTGAATGGCCACAACGCTGGGAGGTCATTTCTCCCATTTTGCCTGTGAGGAAACTGAGGCCAGGAAACTTGAGGAACTCGTCCAAGATCATTCATTGCAGGGTCTGGGGGTGCTGGGCTAAGACCGAGTCCGTGTGCCTCCGGCGCCCCCTGCCGGTACCACTGCGAACTCCCAAGGAGCCGGCCGGGCTTCTGGGCAGGTCCCGGTCCCTGCTGCCTCCAGAGCCCATAGTAATCGCATCCGCAGTGATCACTCTTGCTGGCCGAGCGCCAGGCGCTCTGCTGAGCGCTTGGCATACATCGACTCTCCGCATTAACCGCGTGGGGTTTGATCTTGTTCTCACACCCCCATTTTTCAGTTAGGAAAACTGAGGCTCAGAGAGATAGAGCCCGTTGCCAAGGTTTTAAAGCCAGTGGCTGGACTGGATTTGCCTCAGGAACCCGCTGTCGCCCACCTTGTCCTGGCCTGTGGTCAGGACCTCCACCATAAACGTGACGCTCTGTTAAGCTCTGGGCCCATCCCTGCTATTTCTGCTCCGCTTGACCCTGATGGCCTACTACATGGGTGATGCTCCGTGTAACCCAGGCAGACTCTCAGCCATTGGAGTGACGCCTGAACCTATTGGGTCTTTGCTTCAAGCTTCTTATTCACAGTCTTCCCTCCTTCATGCCCCTCAGTCCCTGGGTGACATCCGGCCCCCAGTCATGCCAGTTGCTAGTTCTGCAGTGCAGTTCACTGGGTGGCAGTCAAGAGCAGAGCTTCTGGGTATGACATACCTAAGTGTGTACACTCAGGAAGCATTACCACCGCTGCTGTTACCAGAGGTGCGGAAGGGGAGGTCTGCTTTGTCATCTATACAATGAAAGTCATAAAAGTCATCACCCTCCTAATGTGTGCCAGACTCTGTCCTAAGCATTTTACAGTCCTTAACAGTCCCTTGCAGGCAAGTACTGTTACCTCCATCTTAGAGGTGAGAAAATCAAGGCCCTGGAAAGGTAGATCATTCAGTGAACAAGTGGCAGAGCCAGATTTGAAATGAGGTAGTCTGGCTGCTGAGTGCAAGCTTTGTCCCCTGACTTCCTCTTTTCCATCACCCTGGGTTATTTTCCTCTGTGAAGTTATCAGTGATTGAAGTCATTTTGTTGTTTAGTGCCTCATCCCATACCTAGAATGTTAGCTCTGTAAGACCCAGGACTGTGTCCACCACATTGGCCCATGTCTCCAGAGCCCGTGGCTCATGGTGGACATGCAGTGGATTTACTGAATGAGCGTCTTTTGAGCCAGTCCCTTATCCTGGCTTCCGGTCAGGGGCCCAGGGTGGTGTCCTGTGAGCATGGCCCCAGCTGAATTCCCACCTCCTCTCCCTTCCTCCAGGTCGGGTATACTACTTCAACCATATCACTAACGCCAGTCAGTGGGAGCGGCCCAGTGGCAACAGTAGCAGTGGCAGCAAAAACGGGCAGGGGGAGCCCACCAGGGTCCGCTGCTCACACCTGCTGGTAAAGCACAGCCAATCAAGGCGGCCCTCATCCTGGCGGCAGGAGAAGATCACCCGGACGAAGGAGGAGGCCCTTGAGCTGATCAACGGTGAGCAGGGCAGGGAACAGGCATGGTGGGGTCTCTCCCAGGCAGGCCTTGTGGAAATCACTCCAGCCCGCTCAGCTGTCAGGTGTGGCTGACTTGCAAGTGCCTGTGCTTGGTGTGACCCTGGCCCCCACAGCCGCCCTTCTCTTTCCTTTCCATCTGGCGTCTGAGGATGAGCCAGGCAGGGGTGGAGGACCCAGCCTGCAGGCTGGCAGGCCTGGGTTCAGATAGCAGCTCTGCCTCCTTGCACTCCTTGGGGAACTCACATCCCCTCCCCATCTCCGTGTTCTCTGTACAGTTGGGCCTCGTGATAAGCCCACCTCCAAGAGCCGTGGTGGAAAGTCATAGATAACGCGATGCATTGCGCACCCTGGGCCCTCAGTCGTGGGAGCTGCTTCCATTAGTGACTTCATTGAGCAGGGTCCTGAGTCACATACATGGCTGGGTCCAGAGGGAGGTCAGAAAAGTAATGAGCAAGAACTAGCCTATAGAGCTGGTGAGTTAATTCTGGCCCGAGGGAAGAGGCCCTTCCCTGCCCTATTCTGTGTATCCTCCAGTCTGTAGCAGGGGCGGCAAACTTTAAAGGACAGATGGTCAATATTTTTGGTTTTGTGCACCATACAGTCTCTGTCAACTCTGCTTTGGAACCCACTAGCAGCCATAAACAATATTTGTAAGCAAGCACATGATGTGGCTGTGTACCAGAAAAACTTTACATACAAAATCAGGCAGGAGCTGACCTGTAGGCGAGAGTTTGCAGAACCCTGGTCTGGAGCTGTCTAGTTTGGCTGCCACTAGCAGGCAAGTAGCATGTGACTATTTTCATAGAACTTCATTAGATTATATTTAACTTATATTTCCATATAACTTAATTAAAATTAGTATTAAAAAATGAAGCTAGGCATGGTGGCACATGCCTATAGTTTCAGCTACCTGGGAGGCCAAGGCAGGAGGATCGCTTGAACCCAGGAGTTCAAGTGCAGCCTGGACAACATAGCCAAGACCATGTCTCTTAAAAGAAAAAAACATTCCTCAGTTGCGGTGCTCATGTTTTCAGCATCAGAAGCCACTTATAGCTAGTAGCTACCATCTTGGACAGTGGGGATATAAAACATTTTCATTCTTGTAGGAAGTTCTGTTTGACAGTGCTAGTCTGAGTCTCATATGGAGTTTCTTCATCCACTCAGCCTCTCCTGCCAGAGTCCTCAGAACCCTCCCAGGCTACTCCAATTCCAGTAAGCCAGTCTCTCACCTATGTCCAGACCCACATCATAGGGTAGTTGTGAGAATCCTGTGACCTAATCCAGTAAAACATGCATAACAGCACCTGGTATCTGATAAATACTCCACAATTGCCTTGGTCATTGTGATTGTCAAGGGTAGCACAAGGCCTGGCACAAAGCGCACACTCGGTTGGTGTTAGCTGTTGTTTCACGCTCTGGTCATTTGGTCCCGTGCTAGCCTGTGGGGTATTACTTACACCCACCCGAACACACATGGTACCTCGCACAGTAAGTGGCACCTGTTAACGTCATCCATCATAAGCATTGTGGAAAGAGGTTGAGCTCTTGCAGACAGTCTCCAAGCCTGATTAAAGAGCCTTCCTCCTGAGCTTCTGGAAGGCAGGGCCTCTCTCTTTCCTCCATACCCCTCCCCCCACCCAAACACAAAGCCCTGCTCAGAGGTAGCTCTCACAGGCTTGTCGAGTGAACCAACAGGAAGCAGGAAGGATTCCTGGCAGAGCGCAGGGCAGGCATAAGGGCCTGAGGCTGGGACATAGCCAGGGTTCGAGGAAAGACTGTACAAAGAGCTGGGGGGAGTAAGACCCTTCCAGGGGCCTGGCCAGGCTGAGGAGGCTCTTTGTCAGGAGAGGAGCTTAGATCCTTTCCTGGAGGTAGCAGGGAACACATGCCCTGTGGGGCCAGGAGAGGAGCTCCCAGTGCTGTGCCTCCAGGGGAAGAGCAGGATGTGGGGGGGGGGGGAAGCCTGGAGAGAATCGCAAGACTGAATCGCAAGACCTCTCGGGTCCTGCTGGCTCTAGGGGATCCCTCTTGAGGCTTCTGGACCCCACAAGAGTGAGTCAGAGGTAACAGACATTTAGAGAGGGAGCGGCTATATAGTCTCTGTCAGCTCTGCTTTGTAACTCAGTAGTAGCCATAAGTTGGAGTCTCAGGCTGGCGCCCAGGCAGGAATGCAGTGGTGGGCTCCCGGCCACTGCAGCCTCGACCTGCTGGGCTCAGGTGATCCTTCCACCTCGGCCTTCCAAGTAGCTAGTACCACAGGTATGCACCACCTGCCTGGCTAATTTTTTTAATTTTATTGTAGAGAGGCAGTCTCGCCAAGTTGCCCAGACTGGTCTCAAACCTGTGGGCTCAGGCAGTCCTCTCACCTTGGCCTCCCAAAATGCTGGAATTACAGGTGTGAGCCACCACACCTTATAAACCTTATAAACAATATTTGTAAGCAAGCACTGCTACTGGTCGAGAGGACTCAGAAGTGGCAGGAAGTCTGGAGAGGGACTTCCTGTATCTGAGGGATAGCTGGAGAGGGTCTAGGGGTCAGCAGAGCAACCAGGTCCGGGATGGAGCTGCTCAGGGTGTGAGAGCTGGCAGGAGGCTGGGGGGTGAGGGAGTATGCACAGGGCATAGGCCTGGGTGTGACTGGGGGGGCTGACTGCAGTGGGGGCTGGGGAGTG